ATGGACAATATCTTCGTCTCGACCAAAACGATCTTTAAGTGCGCACATCGCATCACGATATAAATTTCCATCAAACAACATACCTCCGATTGTGTGGCGTGCAAGTCCAGTTACTGCACCTTGCAGATGGGCCATTTTCTCATCATTGGACATTGGCTGGTCGTCGACTAAAGATTTAAATAGAGAGTACCATCTTGGCCAGTCTGCAACATTGCCGTTAAATGCTTCTAGCTCCAGACGAGGTAAACTGCTTCGGAAGAGATTGGACTGATTCGGTCGCTGCTCGTTCGTTAAATCTCTCGTTCGTTCGACTTCGCTGATTTCGGGATTGTGCATTCGTTGTCGCCAAATCGTTCGTTCGAGAGGTGCTATCTTCATCATTTTTCATTCGGTGCTCTACTTCAGATTTAATTGACGCATACGATGTGTTTAAATCAACGTCATGTAGTTTCTTTTGACCATCTTCGCTGGCTGCTGCACCTTTCCTTTCTCGCAACCGCGAAAGTATAGAATCTTGTAGCGCAGTGCACCTTTCAGTCGCTTCTCCTTCATAACGTTCTGCGCGTATTCGTTCAAATTCGTCGTCCTGAATACGATCAAAGTAATTCCAATTTGCATCTTGTAGGGTAGACCGGGGCAAGTCGCCCCGCCGAGGTAAAACGCCTCACCGATGTTTCTCGGAATTGGCCAGGTTCTGGGGAAACATCCTCTCTTCTATAAAACGTGCACTATATGATCATTATATGAGCAAACTGGAAAGAAATTGTGATAACTCTTTAGGGAGATATAGCCAAAAATTTGTTTTTGGAGTGATTTTTATGTTTTGCAGTCAGATTATGCATCATGGCGTTCTTTTATTGTCCACGTCAGGTTAATGACTTTTATGTATTTTGAACAACTAGTGTCTAACGCTTATAATAATGGGTTGGTCCGTTTTAAATTATTTCTTGCTGGAGTGCAAGGCGTTGTTCCCTGACCGAACTACGTGATGGGGTAAAACGCCCCAGTAGGTCGCGGGGCAAAAAGCCCCATGGGCGTTTTACCTCATGTGTTGTTCCGAATACCCACTTCCTAATGTTCGGTAACTGGCGAACAGTAAGTTTCTATGCAATTTTATGTGCTTTTCTCAGCAAATTAATGGCAAAGGAAGTATTTTGTTAACATTTGCATTGCAATAATTTATTATTTGGCCTTATGAGCCAGGTGAAAAACCTGTACATACAATAGTGTCATACCTGAACACCTGACAGGATGGAAGGGGCTAACTTCAGTTCCGTGCCTCCCAAGGTCTAACGGGCCTCTTATATAAGATTTAGTCAACTAGCATGTTTAATCTGTAATCTAGAGTATGGGGCTTCTTGCCCCAGGCCGTGGGGCGTTTTGCCCTGGGGTTGGGGCAAAATGCCCCATTTGCAGTTGCTTCACAAATCACTTCCTAGCTGGGAGTTCGATCAAAAGTGAATGAATTTGACGGGTGGAATTTAAAGTAAAATGTCCAAAGAACGCATTGAGCACAAATTTGGCCTTCCAGGTGATGTGGGACAAAAGTTATGTAGCAAAATAAATTATCTGGGGCGTCTTGCCCCAGGCTACCCTAATTTGTGTAGTGCGTCATCGAGCTCCTTTAAAATGATCCAGAGCTCATCGCGGGTGCCGTCAATATCGAGAAGAACAAATCCTCTTCGTAGTATCCGATTTAGGGCGGCAAGTTCTTGACCACGTTTACGACGTAAATCTGACAATGAACGACTTGTACTTGCCATGGCAATCTTAAAACTGTAGAATCTTCAGAGGTAATATCTTGAACGCATTGATTTCTTGTAGTTTATTAGAGCAACACAGACAGTTTCAAATGGTTTAATGATTTTGCCGATTCACAGATTGAAGATTCTATAAACCAAGATGACACTAGAGAAATTTAGGCAGTTATTTTACACCAAACAAAACCAAAATAATGCCCAAATATTCACAAACCAGGCCAAATTAAATTTAACACAAACTGGAGCTCATGTCAAAACGAAAAGTCAAAACAAAAAATCGACATATTTCAAATAAACCACATGCACTGATCCCAAAGCACTTCCGTTTGAGGTCGCATCCTTTTGTTCCTTAATAAACGTTTTGTGTGTGTGTGTGTGTGTGTGTGTGTGTGTGTGTGTGTGTGTGTGTGTGTGTGTGTGTGTGTGTGTGTGTGTGTGTGTGTGTGTGTGTGTGTGTGTGTGTGTGTGTGTGTGTGTGTGTGTGTGTGTGTGTGTGTGTGTGTGTGTGTGTGTGTGTGTGTGTGTACTTGTAAGCCATCACTTTTGGGGTCATTTTGTGATCGCACACCTGCAATGTGAGGACACCATGTCACATTCACGGACAGTTTTGGTGTCCTCGGATTTAGAAGGCGGATATACCCATATTTTTCATTTTTTGAACGATTTAAGAGTTTTCGGAGTGTCCCGAAATTTCACGTCTTTTGAGATCGAGTGCGGAAAGTGTGTGAGTGCGGAAATTTCGGAGCGTTTCCTATTCTGTGCGACGGATAGTGGTGTTTGGAATCGAAGGCATATCCACCATTCATGAATCATGACTAGCGATTCATTGCCGCAATACATTTGTTCTTTGCATTTGGGATAATATTTTGTATTAATATATTTGTTTATTTAATATCAAACACCTAGGATTATTCTTGAGTTAATTTAAATTTGAATCTTTTTTGTTAAATCAGACTCAATCTGAATCCTTTGCTGGATAAACAGGGAGCATGCGGCCCTTGCGCGTAGATTGGTTGCCTCATACTATGACGTAATAGGTACATTATGTTGATTGGTCAGTTTACTCAAAACGCCTTTGGCTTCGACGCTCATTGGCCCAACTTTCGCGTGCCTCCAACCGCCTTTTTATAAGAAGTTTGTACGTTTTTAGATTTAACTTTTCCGGTGGTTTTCGCGTGGATTTTCGTCAACTTCGTGAACAACTACTGTCGTCCGATTTGTAAGTGCATCATGCCTATTTTCCCATTCGTGAATTAGGATAGCAAAGCCTTTTCAGAATTATTCCATGCTCATTCAGACAGATGGTTCAAGGCGGTGTCAGGCGCTGATAGTTTATTCTCTTAAATAAGTATCGAAAGTGTACCTACCTAACAAATAAGACCTTCCAGGGATTTCCCAATCCTTAGTGTTCTTTGGAGATTTAGCCTTTTTAAAGGTGAGTGTTATTGTCTGTCTGTTCTTAAATATTGGTAATTATCCAGTTCAAGTTTAAATCAGCTTCAGTGCATGGGTGTTGTTTTCCATAGGCTTGGTAGGTCCCGAGCCCTACCAATAATTTCAGGATTAATTTCATAATAATTTCAGAACATTAGATGCCTTCAAAAACGTATTAAGCAAGATGAAAAGAACATGTTAGAGCTCTGAAACTTCAGCTAACATCTGAGATTCACCCAATACCAAAAGTGTTCTACGAAACATTCGGCTTTGGACTTGTGTTTTTGGTTTTTGTTTCTACAACTTTGCAAATTTTCCAATTCTGTCATTGAATAAGTGTCAGTGTCCTAAATGCTATTTTCCAGCTTCTAAAATAACATGTAGTTATTATTATTTTCAGGGAAAAGTCCATGTAAGCTAGTGGCAGTTATTAGTTTGTAGGTAAGCACCTGACCAAGTACCTAGGTACTATTCTTGTTGCGCTATTGACCCTCTTTCATTCTTTCTCAATTTTGTTTTTAGAAATGAACTCAGTGCGTTGAGTAGAGCATGTCAAAGCTCTGAAACATGTGATACCTCCCTAGAATAACAATCCCAAAAATGTTTTACGAAACTCCGCTGTTGACATATGGTGTTTTTTCAGCTGTTCTCTTTTTTAAACCTGGTGCTTCTCAATTCTGGCTTCTGAATCAGTATCAGTGTCTCCAATGCTAATTGCCAGTACCAAAAATAACTGGGCTATAGGTACTTAAGGGGAGATGCAGGTATAAGGGGAAATGCACATACAAGTCGTATTAAATAGTTCTATAGTTTGTGTGCACCTAATCTAGTACTATTCTTGATGCGCGATTGACGCCCTCTCATTCTTTCCCAATTATGTCTTAAGAAATGCATTCAGCACATTGGTTGACACATGTTGGAGTCCTGGAACTTAAGATAGCCCCTGAGATTCACCCATTACCAAAAGTGCCTAACGAAACGTTCCGCTTTGTACCTACTCAGGTGTTATTGGGCTTTCTTTTCTACAGCTTTGCCTATTTTCCAATTTTGTTGATTGAATTAGACTCAGTGTCTTAAATGTTATTTTTCAGTACCCAAAAATAAATGGATTGCTATTATTTTAAGAGAACTGCACATGTAAGCCTGTGGCAGTAAGTAGCTTTGTTTGCACCTTACTAAGTACAATTTGCACCTTTACTATTCTTGTTGCACGATCGACACCCTCACTCTTTCTCAATCCTTTTTTAGAGACAAATTCAGTGCATTGAGTAAAACATGTCAAATCCATGAAACTTGTGATATTGTTTAACAAGTTATTCTTCATCCTTCTAATAAACTTGGGTTAGGTATCTTCAAACATTCACATAATACCAAAAGTGATTTACGGAACTTTCTGCAATTGACATGAAAGGTGTTTTGGACTTTTCTTTCTAAACCACTGGCCATTTCCAAAGTCTGTTATCTGAATCAGCCTCACTGTCTCCAATGTTATTTGCCAGTATAAAAAAAACTGGGCTATTTGTATTTAAGGGAAATGCACATGCATGTCATGATATTAAGTGACTTTGCTGTTTGTGTGCACCTGACCAGGTACCTACTATTCTTGATGCGCAATTGAATCTCTCTCATTCTTATTCCATTATGTCTTTGGAAACGCATTCAGCAGGTTGATTAGAACATGTTAGTGCCCTGGAACTCAAGGTAACCCTTGAGGTTCACTTAATACCAAAAATGCCTAATGAAACGCTTTGCTTTGGGCTTAGGTGTTTTTGGTCTTTCTTTTCTACAACTTTGTCAATTTTCTCATTCCGTCTATTGAATTAGCCTCATTGTCTTTAAATGCTATTTTCCAGTACCAAAAATAGCTGGGTAATTATCATTTAAGGCAAATGCACATGTAAGCTAGTGGAAGAAAGTAAGTAGGTAGCTGTGTGTGCACCTGACCAAGTACTAATCTTGTACATTCTTTCTCACCTTCGTTTTCAGAAACAACTTCATCGCGTTGAGTAGAGCATGTCAAAGATCTGAAATTGGTGATATTTCTCCCTAGATTCACATACTTTGTACCAAAAGAGTTCTATGAAACTTTCTGCTTTTGACATGAAATTTGTTTTTGGGCTGTTTTATTTCTTAAGCCATTGGTCTGTCCGTCTAAGACTGTCTTCTTAATCAGCCTCAGTGTCTCCAATTACACAAAGCCATTCAGGGGCGTAGCCAGGATTTCCCTAAAGGAGGGGGCCAAACTGACAGGGGCTCAAGGTAACCCCCTCAAAATTGAAAAAGTCATCGGATTTCATCCACTATTTTTGGAGGGGGGGGGGGCAAATAAATATATGAAATATTTATTAGAAAAGAAAGGAAAAGAATGTTAAAACTGAGGGGTGTTTTTGGGGCAAGCATGAAGCAAGGCCCACGAATAGCTTCAAAGAGTCGCTCAGCCGGTTCTGAGGGCGGTCTGAGGGCCCCGTAGGTCGGATGAGTGTCCTTCAGACCGCCAAAGGCCTCCACAGCCCATGAGAGCCTCGTAAGCCGTCTGAGGGTCATGTAAGCCGTCTAAGGGCCACTCAGACCTATAAAAGGCCCCCTTGCACGTGCAGAGGGCCCTGTCAGACCGATGGAGGGCCCTCTCAGCCAAAGTAACGGCCCGTTCAGGTCATTTGAGGTCCTCCTCAAACCGATAGGGGCACCTCAGAGATTGACAGTGGATCCGATCTGCGATCCCTCAAACCGACATAGGGTCAGACCAACAGTCGGAGACAAACAGATCAACAGAGGGCCCGTCAGGTGAACAGAGGGCTCTCTCAGGCCGATCGAGGGACCCATAGGCCAACAGGGGCCCTCAGAACAGCGGAGGGCCTCTCCCAGGTCGGGAGAGGGCCCCTGAGACTGACAGAGGCCCCTCATGTCGAAAGAGGAGCTCCTCAGGTGGGGAAAACGCCCCTCCAGTTGATTAGAGGCCACTTCGGACGAACAACGGGCCCCTCAGGCCGATCGGAAGCCCCTCAGACCGACAGAAGGCCCTCTCGGTCCAAAAAGGGCCCCTCATGCAAATAGCGGTTCCTTTAGACTAACAGAGGGCCCTTCAGATGTTCTAAATTAAAATATGCATATTATTTACACCTTGATTTTGTGCACACACCGTTGGACCCATCCCATCCACCTGGACCCCCTGGTTTCAAAAGGGCCCCAAGGCTCTAAAATTGGGGCTCCAAATTATGGCTACGCAGCTGCATCAAATGATCTGTCGCAGGGGCCTTTGCATCGCCAAGGGCCCACTGTGTCAGCCAGGGGCCCTATGGAATAGGGGCCCCTGGCCTGGCGCGATGGGGGCCCTATTGGGCTTCAAGGGGGCATGGCCCCTATGGCTCCCCCTTGACTACGCCCCTGAAGCCATTAAGTTGCTTTGTGTGCACATAACCAGATACTTAGGTACTTTATTATGCGCGATTCACAGTGACAGTGGTCGCGTTACAGGCCAGATGAAGCCGGTTAGCGGGGCGGGCCGTGTCCGGCTATGATGTACACGTTAAATATTCGACTCTAAATTCTGCCTTGTACCCGAAATTTCCCGATCGGGCGTTAGAGGTCAGAACCTGCGCAACAAGCACCGCTTAGCGTTAGTTCTGACATCGGAAATCCACCCATTCAAAGTATTTTGAATAAATTTATAAAAATGATCGGACATTGGTAGGAGGGTGGGGATAGGGAAAGGGTCGGGGGTCAGTGACAGGGCACTGTCGGTAAAAAAAAAAATACGGTTGGGTCCTTCAAAGGATAAATAAGCTTCACCCTTCGCTCATTGAGACATTTGTGATTGCTATTGACTTACACTTTCTGTGACATGTAAGGCTTATATACTACTTATGTACTACTTATACTAGTCTATACTAGTATATATAAGTTGTATATACTACTTATATACTACTTGTCAATTCACTGTTATTTTCCAGGTGACCAGACGCATGATCCAAGCGCATGCGTACAGTCCAAGCGTAGGTCCACCGTCCAAGCGTGGATTAAGCCAACATGGGGAAAAGAAAGGTTTGTCTGTGGTGTGTGTGTAGATCAGAGATGAGCATATGGTAGCACGACACACTCCTCATTAATCATTGTTACTTGCCTTGCTCGTACAGATTTCCATCAGCAACTGCCCGACGTCGGACGTTTTGTATTTATTTGAAAATATGAGTATTGCGTAAAACATACTGAGATCAAATGAATATTTTGTTCTTCGTTTCAGATTTGTTTGGTTTCTAGGATCTGTTAACCTTATTCCTTGCAGGTGGAATGGAGTTGGAAAGGCTATAAATCTTTAACTTTCAACCGATTTTAACGAAACTAAGTGCTTATTCATACCTAAACTTAGCCTCCATAAAAGTTTCTGGTTTTGGGAAACTGTTGAAGCATAGGCGGTTTTAGACGGCAAAAACTGTGGTACAAAATAAAGACACCTTTAACTCTTTTGTGTTTCTTGCTTCGGTGTTACGGTTTTCTTGTTTTGCGCTTTTTACCGAGCTGTGCTAGTCCAATATCATTAGCGCCGAATACGTTACTGACAAGTGTTGTTCCTCTACATTGAAGCGCCCAAGTGCAGCGCTGGCATGATTTTTGAATGTTCGATCTCCAAGTCCTTTTTGAATATCAACACACACTCATTGTTGGCCATTGTCACATTTGGCACCAATTTGGTTATTTAAAATTGGGTCTGGAGCCGCCTCTGATGTATATTTTGGTGTTAAAAATTTGGTACAAGCGCCAGACATTCTGCACAAAGGCTCAAATGCAGCGTTCTTCAGTGTCATTTTTATCTGAAATTAAAAAATGAAAGAAATACCCGAGCAAGGAATAGGGTTATCTGCATGCGACAATGTTATTGAGTGATACTCATGGACCGAACTGAATTGATCTTGTTGGAACGTGTTTATAGTGTGATATGACGAGTTGTGTATATGTGTGCGTGTAACTTGCAAGCAATGTTTCATGTAGTCACGATACTGTTTAACAAACATGCATATGTTCCTCCCTAGGGACGCCCAGGAAGGCTGATCGCCAGAAAAAGACCCCGGAGGAGTGTTGAGGTAATTTGCGATTGCTATACCTTTATAACGGACATGTTTTCAGATAATAAATAATCGCAGAGTAATAATCGTATGCTCACTGTATTGAAAAGTCTAAACTTAGCCTAAAATGACTAAAGATGTAAATGGATTATTCGAAACAACTATTCATTTTAGGCTAAGTTCAGATTTTTCAA